AAGACTAGCATCAACAATACAAAGCACAGAACAAGACAATCTCTATTCTCTTATGTAGAGAATTTGAATGGTCATTGGAATGTTCTCCTGTTGGTAATGAGAGCAGGCCAGCAGAGGCAGGAAAAGCCTTGTGTCATAAACAGCTCTCTGCTCCAGCAAAGGAGAATCTACTGCTCCCTCCACAGCAACTACTTACTGCTTCATACCTGTCTTCATACCTTGTCTTCATGGTAGAGCCAGCTATGCTGAGTTACATCCCTTTCTGGCTAGAATTCTGCTCCATTAAATTAAAATTTCTTTCTCCATATTTCTACTGTTGGAAGTAACTTAACATTTTAGTCAAGCATTTAGAAATAAATAATCCAAAGCAAGAGATCCAACATAGTGTACAGTGTATTATTGAAGGCTTTCATGGCTGGAATCACTGAATAGTTGTAGGTTTTTCGGGCTGTATGGCCATGTTCTAGAAGCATTCTCTCCTGATATTTTGCCTGCATCTGGCAGGCATCCTCAGAGGTTGCCTCTGAGGATGCCTGTTTTAATGTTGCTTCTGTCTTATGTTTAATGGTATTAGTTGATTTTCACTCATAGTTAATTGCTTAGATATTATGAATATTTACATGCATGTCTGGCATTCCATTTTGCCATTAGTATGTTGTAAACTGCTTTAAGTCTCTCCAGTGGTGAGAAAAGCAGTATAGAAATACAGTAAATTATAAATAATAATAATCCTTGCTGCCATATCATCCTCCAAGCCAAAAGCTGGGGGGATGGGGGACAGTTAAGGGTTCAAACCCCCCCCCCCTTGTAATGTGTCAGGTTAAAGAAACTGGTTTTGGTTATTGTTTAACCAGTTAAAATTTATAAGTAAACCAGGTTTTTTTTAACCTGACATATTTCAGGGGGAGGGATTGAAGCCTTAACAACCCCCACCCCCACCCCAGCTACAGCCCTGGCATCCATAGTGCTACAAATAGCTAGGTCTCCTTCACTCCACTTGTTATTAATTAATCGTTCCTAATCTGTTCCTCCCCTTTTTAGGCACTAGTTTTGACTGGAAGGTTATTAAAATTGCCATAAAGTTTTGTACTGCTGCTACCTTGCAGTGGGAAGAGTCCAAAAATGGACTGCACTTTTCAGAATCCCCCAGCAAACATGGTTAGTGGTCAACTGTGGGAGTAGTGATGTAAATAAGTAGATCTGAATAAGGGCTCTGATGAACTTCCCCGGTTCTGTTTGCAAATGCAGATGTCAGAGAGGACAGGAAATCAGGCACTGATGCCAGGGAAAAGGAGTAATAACATGAAGTGAGTTTGCGAAGCCCCCTCCCCAATTCTTCTGCATAATGCATTTATTTGGGCTTAGAAAGGCAAAGTCAGGACTGGATAAGTCCATTACTATAATATGGATCCAGCAGAAATCCGGCAGATTCCAGCATATTTAAACTCCTCTCCCTTTCAATTCCCTTAAATCACAAAAATTCCAAATACAACCTACTTCCTTAGCCTTCTGCCCTCCAGATGTTTCAACTCAGTAGCGATTGACATATGTGCTGGACAAAATTTCTGACCAGGTTGAGAAACCTCAGGGTTATACTAGCAAATATCGGAGACACTAGCTATGCTGTGTGATTCAAAGACTGGTAGTATTTAAAATAATGAATTGTCTTCTGCTCTGTTCAGTTCCTCCTACTACACAATTGCATAAGTGAATGTAATGGGAGGGAGCCCCCTAGTGGCAGGATATATATGACACTCCATCAAATTACCAAAATGAATTACCGCATATACTCAAGTATAAGCCGAGTTTTCCATCCCTTTTTTAGGGTGAAGAAGCACCCCTCGGCTTATATTTGTCAAGATTATTTATTATTTTACTCTTATTATTATTATTACATTCTTATTTAACTCCATTTATTATTATAATTACATGTATTATTTTTCTTATTATTATTACATTTATTATTTTACTCTATTATTATTTTTATTACATATATTATTTTATTCTATTATTATTTTTATTACATTTATTGTTTTACTCTCTGTTATTGGAAGTATACATAAGCACATTTACATTGAAGAAGGTCAGAATAATGGTTTAATCAGAGTTGGACAGTCTTAACTTAAATTACAGTTTTATATAAATATTCAAAAACATTTAACCTACTGAGCCTCAATTAATGTAATGTTATTGGTACCTATTTTTATTTTGAAATTTAGCAGAAGCTGCTTCATTTCTCACCCTTGGCTTAGACTTGAGTCAATACATTTTCCCCGTTTTTTGTGGTAAAATTAGTTTTTTTAATATCAATAGTGATTTAATCGTGAAAGAAAAGCAAAAATGTTTTTTTAATGCTAGGACCGACAGGCCATTTTCAAACGGCTTTAAGGCTGCTCTCAGCAAAGTTTTCCTTTGACTACCAGATTTTCCTGAAAATAAGACCATATTCATTTTTGCACCAAAAGACACATTATGGCTTATTTTCAGAGGATGTCTTATTTTTTCCATGTACAAAAATATCACATTGCTGCTTTCGAAACTGCTAGGTAGGCAGAAGCTGGGATAAAGACCAGGAGCTCACCCTGACTTAGGCTTCAAATGTCAACCAGTATGGGATTAGTGATAGGGGGGATGAGCAGCCACCTCTGAGGCATCACATTTCCAGTTTTTTGTGTGTGAAGGAGGAATCTCTGGGCAAGAACAATGTCTGAAAAATATCTGTGCGTCCGTTTGTGCATAAGAAAGCTGGAACACAAAAGCAGCTGAGCAGAGGACAATTAATTCATTTAAAGTTGTTGCTAAGGGAGAAAACGATAGCTACCATTTGGACTGCCAAATGAAGCTTGAATGTTATTGTTTATTCGTTCAGTTGCTTCCAACTCTTTGTGACCTCATGGACCAGCACACGCCAGAGCTCCCTGTCGGCTGTTACCACCCCCAGCTCCTTCAAGGTCAGTCCAGTCACTTCAAGGATGCCATCCATCCATCTTGCCCTTGGTCGGCCCCTCTTCCTTCCTTTTTCCTTCCTTTTTCCCCAGCATCATTGTCTTCTCTAGGCTTTGCTGTCTCCTCATGATGTGGCCAAAATACTTCAACTTTGTCTCTAGTATCCTTCCCTCCAATGAGCAGTCGGGCTTTATTTCCTGGAGGATGGACTGGTTGGATCTTCTCGCAGTCCAAGGCACTCCCAGAACTTTCCTCCAACACCACAGTTCAAAAGCATCTATCTTCCTTCGCTCAGCCTTCCCTAAGGTCCAGCTCTCACATCCGTAGTTTACTATGGAGAATAACATTGCTTTAACTATGTGGATCTTTGTTGCCAATGTGATGTCTCTACTCTTCACTATTTTATTGAGATTGGACATTGCTCTCCTCCCAAGAAGTAAGTGTCTTCTGATTTCCTGGCCACAGTCTGCGTCTGCAGTAATCTCTGCACCTAGAAATACAAAGTCTGTCACGGCCTCCACGTTTTCTCCCTCTATTTCCCAGTTGTCAATCAGTCTGGTTGCCAGAATCTTTGGGGTTTTTTTATTTTTAATTGCAACCCAGCTTTTGCACTTTCTTCTTTCACCTTGATTAGAAGGCTCCTCAGCTCCTCCTTGCTCTCAGCCATCAAAGTGGTATCATCTGCATATCCATCCCAGTATCACAAACATGGTTGATGGGGATGAGAGACAGGGCCTTCTCAGCAGTGGCCCTCCCTAAAGATATCAGATTGGCCACCTCCGTCTTGTCCTTTAGAAGGAAAATCAAGACCTGGTGATGGGACCATGTGTTTGATCAGTGAGCAGCAAGTGGAAGAAGATCACGCAACTTATGGCAATGGATTGACCTGGACTGGTTTTTGGATGATTTTAATTGATGTGACTTAATTGTTTTAATTGTTATTTTTAATATTTTGATTGTACTGTGGTTGTTTTTATGATGCTAGTGTTGTATGATGCTTTTGTTAGGCCACCCTGAGTCCCCCTTTGGGGGGAGAAGGGCGGGGTATAAATATAGGAAATAATCTATATAAATAAAAATGAAATGTTTGTTTGTGGGATTAACAGAACTCAAAACCCACTAGACGAATTCACATCAAATTTGGACACGAGACAACATAGCCACAGCAAGGGTACAGGAGATGAGGGAGGGAAGGAAAGACTGAAAGAATGAAGGCAGGACAGGGGAAAGGAAGGAAGGAAAGGGAGGAAGGAGGAAGGAAGGAAGGAAGGAAGGAAGGAAGGAAGGAAGGGAGGGAGGGAGGGAGGGAGGGAGGGAGAAGGGAGGAAAGGAAGGGAGGGAGGGAGGAAGGAAGGAGGAAGGGAGGGAGGGAGGAAGGGAGAAGGAAGGAGGGAGGGAGGGAGGAGGGAGGGGGGAGGGAGGAGGGAGGGAGGAAGGAAGAGAAGGAGGGAGGGAAGGGAGGGAGGGGGGAGGGAGGGGAGGGAGGGAGGGAGGAAGGAAGGAGGGGGGGGAGGGAGGGAGGGAGGGAGGGGAGGAAAGGAAAGGGGAGGGAGGAAAGGGAGGAAAGGAAAGGAAAGGAAAGAAGGAAGGGGGGGAAGGGAGGGAGGGAAGGAAAGGAAAGGAAAAAAGGAAGGGAGGGAGGAAGAAGAGAAGGAAGGGGAGGAAGGGGGAGGGAGGAAGGGAAAAAAGGAAGGAGGAAAAGGAAGGAAGGAAAGGTAGGGAGGAAAAGGTGGAAGGAAGAAGGAAGGAGAAGGGAGGAAGAAGGAAGGGAAGGAAGGGAAAGGAAGGAAGGAGGAAGGGAGGAGGAGGGAGGAGGGAGGGAGGAAGGAAGGAAGGAAGGAAGGAGGGAGGGGGGAGGAAGGGAGGAGGAAGGGAGGGAGGAGGGAGGGAAGGGAGGATGGAGGGAGGAAAGAAAGGAGAAAGGGAGAAGAAAGAAAGAAAAGGGGGAGGGGGCAAAAAGAGGGAAGACCGGAAAAGCCCGCCCCGGGCGCGCAGCCTGCTGGGGGCTGTAGTCCCGGCCCTGCTGCCTCCGCCTCGCTCTTTCCGGCCCCTCCCTGCCTGCCTGCCTGCTTGCGGAGGCGCGATGCCGGGCGCGGGTCCGTGCGAGGGCTGCCAGGGGGCGGCGCGGGCTTGCGTGCGGCGGCCCAAGACGGGCCAGGCGCTGTGCCGCTCCTGCTTCGCGGCGGCCTTCGAGGAGGAGGTGGCGTCCACCATCGCGGCGGGGCGGCTCTTCCGGGCGGGCGAGACGGTGGCCATCGGGGCCTCGGGCGGGAAGGACTCGGCGGTGCTGGCCCACGTGCTGCGGGCCCTGAACGAGCGGCGCGGCTACGGGCTGTGCCTGGTGCTGCTGGCGGTGGACGAGGGCATCGCGGGCTACCGGGACGCCTCCCTAGCCGCCCTGCGCCGCAGCCAGCGCCGCCTCGGCCTCCCGCTCCGCGTGGTCTCCTACGCCGAGCTCTTCGGGTGGAGCATGGACCGCATCGCCCGGCACCTCGGCGCCCGCAACCACTGCACCTTCTGCGGCGTCTTCCGGAGGCAGGCCCTCGACCGCGGCGCCGCCCTCATCGGCGCCCACAAGATCGCCACCGGTGGGTCCGCCTTCCCCCCCCCCCCCAAAAAAAGAAGCCCGCCTTAACATGGGGTTTCCCCCCAAAACAGAAGTCCACCTTAACATGTATTTCCCTCCCCCAAAAGAAGGCCACCTTAACATGGGGTTCCCCCCCAAAAAAATAATTCCACCTTAATATGGGTTTTGCCACAAAACAGAAGTCCACCTTAACATGGATTTTGCCACAAAAAAGTTCAACTTAATATGGGTTTCATCTTCAAAAAGAAGTCCACCTTAACATGGATTTTGCCACAAAAAAGAAGTCCAACTTAATATGGATTTTGCCACAAAAAAGTTCAACTTAATATGGGTTTCATCTTCAAAAAGAAGTCCACCTTAACATGGATTTTGCCACAAAAAAGAAGTCCAACTTAATATGAGTTGGATTGTTGTAGGTGTTTTCGGGCTATATGGCCATGGTCTAGAGCAGTGGTTCTCAACCTTCCTAATGCCACGACCCCTTAATACGCTTCCTCATGTTATGGTGACCCCCAACCATAAAATTAGTTTCATTGCTACTTCATAACTGTCATTTTGCTGCTGTTATGAATAGTAATGTAAATATCTGATATGCAAGATGTATTCTCATACACTGGACCAAATTTGGCATAAATAACCAATACACCCAAATCTGAATACTGGTGGGATTGGGGGAGGGTATTGATTTTATCATTTGGGAGTTGTAGTTGCTGAGATTTATAATTAACCTACAATCAGGGAGCATTGTGAACACTACCAACAATAGCACTGGGGCAAACTTCCTTCCAGAAATATGTGTTTTCTGGTGGTCTCTGGTGACCCCTCTGAAATCCCCGCATGACCCCCTCAGGGGTCCCGACCCCCAGGTTGAGAAACACTGGTCTAGAGGCATTCTCTCCTGACGTTTCGCCTGCGTCTATGGCAAGCATCCTCAGAGGTAGTGAGGTTTGTTGGAACTAGGAAAAAGGGTTGATATATCTGTGGAATGACCAGGGTGAGACAAAGGACTCTTTTCTTCTAGAGTTAGGTGTGAATGTTTCACATTCCTGGCAGTGCCTGGAGCAATCTTTTGTTGAGAGGTAATTAGATGTCCTTGTTGACAAGAGTCCTTTGTCTCACCCTGGTCATTCCACAGATATATAAACCCTTTTCCTAGTTCCAACAGACCTCACTACCTCGGAGGATGCTTGCCATAGATGCAGGCGAAACGTCAGGAGAGAATGCCTCTAGAACATGGCCATATAGCCCGAAAAAACCTACAACAACCCAGTGATTCCAGCCATGAAAGCCTTCGACAATATATATAAACCGCACTTGCCTACTTTCCAACAGACCTCACAACCCCCCCACGAAACTCCACCAAACTTCCCATGCCCCAAGGGCAACCAACAAGGTACAAACTAATCCAGTCAGAAATCAAAAACACACAACAACAACCACAATAAACGGCAAAGCAACTGAGCATGCGCACTACCGCAAACTCCCCGCCGCGCGCACACTCCACACTTTCCTCCCTCCCTTCCGGCAGCGCTCTCCTCTCCTCCTCTTTTCAGACTGAAACACAAAGCGGGGCATCGGGAAAAGGGGCTCCAAAGGGGGGCACCAGCAGCAGCAGCCCACTCCCTCCGGACAGAGTGACCACAAGGACCGCGACGCAGCCAGATCCCTCTCGGTGGGCTTCGGGGTGGACCCTCATCGACCCCCTTTGTCTCGCCCCTCGCCTCACCACAAACAGGCAACCAAGCCCCGCACGCTTCCACCGCCCACACAAACACACACACGCACCACACTCCTCCCCCCCGCCCCCTTCCCGCACCGTTAACACCCATCCCAACTCCCCCTCCTCCCTCTAACCCAGCTCACGTCACCACCAAGCCACGCCCCCTTCCACTCTGTCTACACCCATCCCACCCCCTCCTCCCCACCCCCGCACGGCACACACACACACAGGCTCCCTCACTACCTGTTGGGAAAGCAGCAGCAATGGCAGCAGCAACGGAGCATCCACAAGGAAGAAGGGGAGGGGGAGGAGGAAGGTCCACGGTGCTTGAATGAAGGACCTTCCTTCTCTCCCTCCCCACACTTCTTTCCTCCCTTTCTTTCCTTTTCTTCCTTCCTTCTTCCTTTCCTTCTTTCCCTCCTTCCCTTCCTTCCTGTCCATCCTTCCTTTCCTTCTTTTCCTCCCTTTCCTCCTTTTTCCTTCCCTCCCTCCTTTCTTCCCCTCCTTCCTTCCTTCTCCTCCTTCCCTCCCTCCCCTTTTCCTTCCTTGACTGTCCCTTCCATTTAATAAGGAAATGAAGGGGAAGGAAATGAAGAATGGGAAAGAGGGAGGAAACGAAGGAGGGACAGGAAGGAAGGAAAAAAGGAGGGGGGAAAGAAGGGAAGGAAGGGGGGAAAAGGAGGGACATGAAGGGAGGGAGGAGAAGGAAGGTGGAACAACCAAAAATATTGTGTATCCACAAGTATTAGTAAATAACAGTTCTTAAATACCACTACTTTGTCAGTACTTTATTTTCCATAACAACACACTACGCCACAGCAACGCATGGCCGGGTACAGCTAGTACATTAATATGAGTTTCATCTTCAAAAAGAAGTCCACCTTAACATGGTTTCGTCCCAAAAAAAGAAGTCCAACTTAGTATGAGTTTTGTCTTCAAAAAGAAGTCCACCTTAACATGGAGTTTCCCCAAAAAAAGAAGTCCACGTTAACATGTATTTTCCTTAAAAAAGAAGTCAACCTTAACATGGAGTTTCCCCCAAAAAAGAAATCCACCTTAACATGGGTTTCATCCCCAAAAAGTAAGTCCAACCTAATATGGGTTTCGCCCCAAAACAGATGTCCACCTTAATATGGAGTTTCGCTCCAAAAAGAAGTCTACCTTAATGTGGGTTTGCCCCCCCAAAAAGAAGTCCACCTAAACAGGTTTCCCCCCAAAAAAGAAGTCCGCCTTAACGTGGGTTTTGCCCCCCAAAAAATAAGTCCCCCTAAACAGGTTTCCCCCAAAAAGAAGTCCACCTTAACATGGGTTTTGCCCCAAAACAGAACTCCACCTTAACATGGAGTTTCGCCCCAAAACAGAAGTCCACCTTAACATGGGTTTCCCCCCAAAAAGAAGTTCATCTTAACATAGTTTTTCCCCCAAAAAGAAAGTCCACCTTAACATGGATTTCCCTCAAAAAAGTCCACTTAAAGTTGTGTTTTTCTCCAAAAAGTTTCTCCCCCAAAAGCCTGCCTTAAGCATGCTGTATGAGATCGATCAGGGTAAAACTCTTGCGCTTACTTTTACAACCATTATCACCTGGGGCACATCTGCACTTCAGAGTTAATGCAGTTTGGCACCAAAGAGCTGCCTCCAGTGAAAGACAATGTGAAGTCTGCCTGCAATGCCTAACTGGCAAGGCCATCCCTTGAGGACCAGGTAGGGAGGAGCATGCTGCATCTACACTAGAGAATTAATGCAGCTTGATACAACTTTAACTGCCGTGGCTCAACGCTATGTGATCGTGGGAGTTGTAGGTTGGGAAAGCAGTAGCACTCTTGGGTAGAGAGGCTGAATGGTTATGCAAAACTACAAATCCCAGGATACTATAGCCTTGGTGTCAAACCGCACTCATTCTACAGTGTACATTCACAGTGGTTTCTTTGTGTCCTGTGAAGAGGGCCTTGTGTTAGAAATAGAGCTTGTCTCACGTACAGTCTCTAATGCTGTAGCCAGCTGTGGCTCTCAGGATGATGAACTGCAACTTCCATCAGCCCTCCCCAGCTTAGCCAACAGTAAGGAATTATGGGAGCGGCATCAATCTTCTATATAAATAAAAATGCAATATTCGTTTGGGGGATTAACATAACACAAAAACCACTGGACAGATTGCCACCAAATTTGGCCACAAGACACTAACCCAAGGAGTGACCATCACTCAAAAAATGATTTTGTCATTTGTGAGTTGTAGTTGGTGGGATTTATAGTTCACCTACAATCAAAGAGCATTCTGAACTCCACCAACGATGGAATTGAACCAATCTTGGCACACAGAACTCCCACAACCAACAGAAAATTCTGGAAGGGTTTGATGAGCATTGACCTTGAGTTTGGGAGTTGTAGTTCACCTACATTCAGAGAGCACTGTGGACTCAAACAATGATGGATCGGGACCAAACTTGGCACAAATATTCCATATGCCCAAATATGAACACAGATGGAGCTTGGGGGAAATAGACCTTGACATTTGGGAGTTGTAGTTACTGGGATTTATAGTTCATCTACAATTAGAGCATTCTGAACCCAACCAATGGTAGAATTGGGCCAAACCTCCCACACAGAACCCCCATGACCAACAGAAAATACTGTGTTGTCTGATGGTCTTTGGCAACCCTTCTGACACCCCCTTGCGACCTCCCCCCCAGAGGTCCCAACCCCCAGGTTGAGAAATGATGCCTCAAGGCCATCCAATCCACCTCCCTTCACCAAAGCAAGAAAACATAATCAAAGCCCTCCTGACAAAGAGCCATACAGCCATAGATATAGGTCGATATATATGATTCACATACACACACACACACACATATGTATATGACAGATATAATATCATAGATTTGAAAGAGACCGCTAAAGAAGGGCAATGATATATTATATGTTCTAGAGGAGGCAAACCAGGCAATCTCCACATCAACACTGGAAAAGAAACAACAAGAAATACTGTTTACCCACATAAAGAAATTACATATATTAAAAACCAACACTTTCTCATTACTTTATTTTCCAGATCACCAGACTAGGCCACAGCAACGTGTGGCAGGAGACGGCTAGTCATCTATATAAATAAAAATGTAATTTTCGTTTGTGCAATTAACATAACTCAAAAACCACTGGACGAATTGACACCAAATTTGGGCACAATATCTAATTCAAACTAAGGTCCAAGGGCTAGATATGGCCCTCTAAGGTCATTTACCTGGCCCTCGCTCATGGTAAACCTAAGTCTGAAACGACTTGAAAGCTGACAACAACAACAATCCTATCTCATCAGCCAAAAGCAGGCCCATGCTTCCCATTGAAATACTAATAAGTTTACATTTGTTAAAATTGTTCTTCATTTTAATTATTGTATTGTTATAAAGTGTTTTTTGCACTACAAATAAGATCTGTGCAGTGTGCATAGGAATTCATTCATGTTTTTTTCACATTATAATCTGGCTCTCCAACAGTTTGGGGGACTGAGAGCTGGCCCTCTGTTTAAAAAGTCTGAGGACCCCTGATCTAATTCATTCAATTCCTTTCGGTTTTGCTTCCTAGGTCATAACGCTGACGATGTTGCGGAGACGGTGCTGATGAATTTCCTGCGAGGAGACGTGGGTCGGCTTCGACGCTGTACAGAGATCATGACGGGAAGCGAGGGGGCGCTGCCGCGTTGCAAGCCCTTGAAGCACGCTTACGAGAAGGAGATTGTGCTCTATGCATATTTCCAGGGCTTGGACTACTTCAGCACCGAGTGTGTTTACTCCCCCAATGCTTACCGGGGCCATGCCCGCACCTTGCTCAAAGACCTCGAGGCCACTCGTCCCAGCACCGTGGCTGACCTGGTGCACTCAGGTGAGCGGCTGGCCCTCCGCGAGGACGTCCGCATGCCCACGCAGGGCACGTGCCAGCGTTGTGGCTACCTCTCCAGCCAATCCCTCTGTAAAGCTTGTGTGCTGCTTGAAGGGCTCAATCGAGGTCTCCCAAGGCTGGCCATTGGGAAGCCCAATCGGCTGCAGAAGGCTCTATTGATGGATGGGGAGCAGCCAGAAGCAAGCGCACAGGAAGAAGAACAGGAAGGCTCTCAACAGAGAAGCCAAGGCCCAAGGACAATAGATTTCTGAGCCTGAACTCAACCACAGTGGCCTTTCTTGCTGAGATAAGGCTTTCATTACCTTGAAAGGTAAATAGTTACCTGTTTCATGTCTGTATTGATGAACTGTAGATCAGAGACAGGGAATCTGTCCTCCCAGCAGTTACTGGCCTGCATCTTCTATCAACGTCCACATTGATAGTGGTAAAGGATTCTGTGAGTTACAGGCCAACAATAACTGGAGGGACACAGTCTGCCCACCTATAGTGCACCTTTGCACCTAATTAGCAATTTGTGATTCTCCAAATGTGGGCAAACTGCAGTTCCTATCATCCCTTTAGCTTTGGCTGCAGTCCTCAGGATTGATGACTGTTGCAGTCCAATGACATTTGGAGAGTGACATGTTTCCAGCTCCTCATCTACACAGAATAAATGGTTCTCTTAACTGACGAAGTTGGCAGAGATACAACAGACCTGAGCACCTGTGTTGTCGAATGGCTATTCTCAGGTGGACTGGGGACAATTTTCTGTTTCTGAAGAAAATTAAATAATAATAAATCGGAATTTTAATCATTAACTTGTATTTTATCTTTCTTTCTTGCCTAGAAACTTGGATTTGGGGAAATAAAGGAGCTGCTTTATACCAGAGCAGATTGTTTATCCTTCTCTTCCAGTATTGCCTAATTGGAATGGCAGGGACTCACCTGCTGTTGGGCAGGTATCTCACTTGCTGCCACAGGTGTAAATAATTGGAATTTGTTGGACTCTTGATCCCATTAGTCCCAAATAATAATAATAGTAATACTTTATTTATATTCCGCCATATTTCCCCAAGGGGACTTAGGGCGGATCACAGTACACATTCACGGCAAACATTCAGTGCCGTTTTGGATAGTCAGGACAGAGACAGACAGAACAGAATTGAGGTATGTTGTGTTGACGTCCAGCTTTTGTTTGTTTGTTTGTTTGTTTTTTGGCACCTTGGAGGTTGTCCTCGAATCCAGCCACAGAGGGGTGCTGTTGCTCCGTCCTCTGACAAAGAGCCATCAGAACTTCTTCATTCCTTTTGGTCGCAGGGCTTTTTCTGTTCTTTTTCTTTATGATGTCATAAAATAGTTTCCCTGCTTTGTTTGAGCAGTCCCTAATTTCTCTACTTACAGAGCAAGCTTAGGTAAACAGTCAGGTGCTCACGCAGACCCGGGGCTTCGAACTAGCAACCTTTCGATTGGTAAATGTTATCATTGCTGGTGATTTATTAGCTGTGCTAAAGCCCGGCCCATGGCCAATGTTCAGGGGTGTTGTGGAGGGCATATATTCATCTCCTTAAATCAGCAAGTGAGCAATATATGGTCTCCAACATGTTGGCCTACAATTCACGTAGCCCTTCCATATTGGTCATGTTTACTGGCACATAATAGCATTTTAATGTTAGAAGTTAATTTGTAGGCAATCTAGTTCAGTTCAAGGCAGGACACCATCCCTGACAGAAAGCTGTCTAGCCTGTTTGTTTCCAGCGAAACAGAATCCCAAGAGTGTGGTATAGTGGTTTGAATGTTAAGGTTAGGACTTGGGAAGACCTAATTTGGATCCCAGTGTGATCTTGGGCAATTCACATTCAGTTACTTTTAGAAGGAGGCATTGAGAAAACCTTGCCAAGAAAATATTAAGTTTTTTCCCCCATGTCAGGAGCAACTTGAGTTTTACTGCAAGTCACTTCTGGTATGAGAGAATTGGCCGTGTGCAAGGACGGTGCCCATGGGATGCCCAGATGTTTTACCACCCTGTGAGAGGCTTCTCTCATGTCTCCGCATGAGAAGCTGGAGCTGACAGAAAGGAGCTCACCCCCTTCCCGGATTCGAACCACCAACTTTTCAGTCAGCAGTCTTGCTGGCATAAGGATTTAACCCATTGCGCCACCAGGAGCTCCTAAAATAATGTGAAGGCACACAGCAATTACTCTGAAGGAAGAATTTCAAGAAAAGGTAGAATATACAGTACCTAAAGTGAGTGACTGAGAATCCATCATCTCCCAAGACAGACATGCTACCAAACAGTTCTTACTATCAGGAAGTGCCTCCAAATTATTACCCAGAAACTGCTTGCCAGCCTCTCTTACAAGCTAAACTTTTATGCAGCTTGCCTTTTGCATTGTTTTGTTTGTTTGTTGTTATTTATCTGTTCAGTCGCTTCCGACTCTGCGTGACCTCATGGACCAGTCCATGCCAGAGCTCCCTGTTGGGGTGCATTGTACTCATTTTCAAATTAACCTCCTCTCTTGTTTATTTTTTGTCTTAATTCTAACCACCTTCTTTTAAGAAAGGAGGGGGATGATTCTGTCTTTCATCACCCATTGAAAGGGGCTCCTGTCGCTGTCCCCACATGAGAATAGAACCAAGAAGCGAAAGCCAGATAATGTCTTGATTTCACACATTTATTAGGGAATATCCACCTCACCAGTACTGATTTGGTGTCAGTTCATCTGCATGGTTTCTTCTATCCACTTGGAGAATTTGCAGATCTCTGTATAAGCAGCAGGTTTGTTCTTTTCTCCGCAATTCTTAGGTCCCCATGAGACGATGCCGTGAAGGGTCCCATTGCACACCAAAGAACTCCCAGAATCACCCTGTAAAGTCACCAGAACAAAATGGTCATTGTCCAAAAGCAGGATGGGTTTTATAATAATACTAATCATAATAACAAAGTATGGATCGTTGATGTTGTAGGCGACAGCAGGATTGAAGAGAAACAACTGGAAAAGCTGACACAATTCGAGGATTTAAAGATCGAACTGCACACTGGGTGCAGTGCCTAAAGACCTTGGCCTGCACTTAAACACAATCAGCGCTGACAAAATTACCATCTGTCAGCTGCAAAAGGCCACCCTACTCGGATTTGCACACATTATTTACCGATACATCACACAGACCTAGAAACTTGGGAAGTGTTTGATGTGTGATCCAATAGAACAGCCAACAAACAAGTGATCTTGTTTGCTGTGCACTAACCTTGTTGTGTTTCTAATAATAATAATAAAAAGAAGAAGAAGAAGAAGAAGCCGCCAACAGAGTGATCTTGCTTGCTGTGGACTCATCTTGTGTTTCAAATAATAATCATAATCATACATCACACAGCATATAGATCTCGTTTGCTGTGACATACTGTGCTTTTGTGTCAGTAAAATAATTATAATTATAAATATTATTATTGTGCGGTTTTCTGGCATTGTATATTTCAAGGCAGAAAATCCCACAATATCTGCTTTGAACTGGGTTATCTGAGTCCACACTGCCATATATTCCAATTCAAAACAGATAATGTGGGATTTTATTCAGCTCTGTGGAAGGGGCCTAAGTTTCTATATATGCAAATATTTCTCAAAACTAGAGTTTGGAAAGTTACTTTTTAAAAGCTGTAACCTTTACAATTTCAACATCCCCCAGTAATAATAATCATAGAAGCAGCAGTTACATACTGATCATGAAATCTTGCCCTGTATCATGAGACTTTGATTATATTAAATAGATTAAAACATGTTAACAATTTTAAGTATATTTGAAAAATTAAAACACTTTAAAACCATGTGCATAAGCCTTTGGGAGAAAACCAGTTAGGTCCAAAGGCAGTCCGTATTCAGTCTGTTTTTGCCACTTACCCGGCATGAATCTTTCCCTCCTTCCATTGCTCCAGCACAAATGTGGTTGTCATTAAAGAGGCTCCCATATGTAGCGTTGCATATATCTTTTGACACGATGCTGATCTCTAAACACTGCAGGCGATAGGCATAATTTACTGCAAGATGAATCCTCAAGTGAGTGGATCATGCAGAGGGTCTACTGTTTTACATCAGGTTGCTTCTTCCCTGACACTACATTCCCAGCTATCCCCCCTCCCTTATCTGGAAACAATATGAAGAAATGACATTGGGGTTGGGGAAGGAATGAACAAACTTCCAATTGTTCATGGATTCCAATCTCTTGTTTGCACCTGACCATTGGTTAATAGCAAAAGGCAAAGGTTTCCCCTGATATTAAGTCTACTAGTGTCCAACTCTGGGGGGTGGTGCTCATCTCCAACGGTCGTGCCATTTGGCGCGTCAGCTTGGTATCGGCATACTGCTACGTATACTGTCTGTCCGCCTTCCTTACTGCAGTCTGGAATAAATCTGTGTTTTGCTCTAACTAATTGGGACTCCTGTGGTGATCCATAGCGACCTGGCAAGATCCCGGAGGGTTTAGGGAGAGCATTCCCTTACAATTGCATGGAGCTTCGTTACCTTCCCACAGAAGCGGTACCTATCAATCTACTCACATTTGTATGTTTTCGAATGGCTACATTGGCAGAAGCTGGAGCTAGCAGTGGGAGCTAACTACTCCCCAAATTCGAACTGCCAATCTTTCAGTCAGCAAGTTCAGCAGCTCAGTGGTTTAAGCCACTGCTCCACCGGGGTTAATAAGAATGTATATTTATAACATTCAGTTTTGCTGCTGTGTGCCTACATATCATTTCCAACTTATAGCAAAGCTATGGAGTTTTCTTAGTTTTTGCCATTGCCTTTCTCTGGGGCTGACAAAGTGTAAGTTGCCAAAGATCTTCATTGGGTTTCCATGACTGGGCAGGGATTCAAACACAGAATCCTGCTTCATCCTTCAAAACACCATGCCACATGAGCTGTATGCAGCTTCAAGGTGTTTGCGTGGCTCTCAGTGTCCCTTAGGGTAAAAAAAAAACATGAAATTTCCCCCCAATACTTTCTAAATGGATGCTGGCTTAAGAAAGGCTTCTCCTGGGCCTAAAAAAGTATGTCAGATCCTCCCAAAATAGCAAAAATGTCCCATGCCCTTAGAGGGCATTTGGAGACAACAGCTGTAATTTTGGGGGGGGGGGGGCGTTGGAGTACAGTTGTCATAGTTGTTCCATAGTTGTCCATTCCTCATCCAGATCAAAGCAGATATGGCTGTCCTCCTCCTCGCTTTATCTTCACAATGACCACCCTAAGCAACTCAGACTGGAAGAATGACCAATCTGATTACTCAACAAAGAGAATAGAACGTGGATCTCACGGCCCTTCCACACAGCCATATAACACAGAATAAGCAAAAGGTAAAGGTTTTCCCCTGACATTAAGTCTCCTCGTTTCGGACTCTGGGGGTAGACACCTCCAAGGTTATGTGGCTGGCATGACTGCTTGGAGCACCGTTACCTTCCTGCTGGAGCGGTACCTATTGATCTACTCACCTTTGCATGTTTTCAAACTCCTAGGTTGGCAGAAGCTGGGACTAACAGCGGGAGCTCATTCCACTCCCCAAATTCAAACCTGCAACCTTTCGGTAAGCAAGTTCAGCAGCTCAGCAGTTTAACCCACTGCGCAACCAGGGGCTCCTATATCAAGGCAAAAATCCCACAATATTTGCTTTGAACTGGGTTATCTGACTCCACACTGCAATATATTCCTGTTAAAAGCAGATAATGTGGGATTTTATTCAACTGTGTGGAAGGGGCCTCAGAAGTTCCAACGTGACCCACAATACCACCCTGCAATCCACTATCCGGAGGATACTGTATCTTTGCAAAAGCTCA